GGTGTTTCCTGACAGTTCTGGCGGCCAGTCTTAATTTGTTTAGCTAGAAGCATTTGTCGGAAAAACCGAAGCTGGCAACGACAGAAACTGCGGGAAACAATGCAAAAAACGCATCTTCGCACGGGCAGCCCGTGCGTTGGCCAATTATTTTTTTTTTCTCCAGCTGTACGGCTGGCAACTTTTCCAGTTGCTTTGATCAGTTCTGCTTCTTCTGGTGGTTAGCTGCCGGCGATTTTGCTACTCATTTCTTCTTCCAGCGAAATTGCCAGCGGAGCTTTGGTTTCTTCAGCTGAGATACTTCGCAAAATTCGCAAGTTATACTTCGTTTTGAGACGTTTAGGTAGCTTGTAATGAGAAGCATCATCTCATCTCAAACTTTGCCACTCATGGACCGCGGTGTGGTACTTAACTAATTAAAAGTTCTGTGATAAGGGCTGGAATGCCAAATCTCCATCCCTCCAGCTGACAATATTTCCATAATCTACCACCTTGTGTTTTCCTCATCCACAGCTCCAAATGCTTAAGTTAATAAATCGGGCTGACATATCGGTAGCTTTTTGTTTTTCTTTTAACATATCGCAGGTACTATTTCAAATATTCGTTTTGTTCATCTGTTGTCTGTTATTTGTACCACATAACATTGATCAGGGCAACTTCTCCCCTTCAAAATTATGTTCTGTTATTGCGATTATTTGTGCGATTGGTTTGGAGACAGTGAGTTAGTGAAGCACATTTACACGTGTCAGATAAAGTTATTTTCAGTCATTTTGCACATTTTTCTTGTTTCGTACGAAAATTTTTCAGTTTCCGCAGTACAGTTACCGAGAATTCTTCAAGCGACGAATACGCGATCATTTCGCAGCTGCCGTGAAAAACGAGAATATACAGCAGACGGAGTTTTATGAGGTTCAGTATTTTTCCTTTTATAAATGCATTTTTCTCGCTGCAGCTCTATTTCGTGAAAAATTAATTTAGTCCCAAAAAAAATGAATTCTTAGCTGAGAGGCGATTTTTCGTTGGGTTGTGTCCAAGGAACAACGCGAAACTCACCAGCTGTTAAGGGAAGGACGAGGAAAATAGACTCGAAGAGGCGAAATTCAGTCATCTGAATGCGAAATTAGCCAGGAGCTGTCAGGTTTCTCTGGAGTGATTGCTTTTTAAGTAAAAAAGTGGTAAATTTGAACAAATTAAAAAAGAAATCGAGATTATTCACTGTTTTTGTTCAAAAAACACAGCTTAGAGATGAAGCCTTTTTAGTGGAATTCGGGTTAACCGCTTCGATTTTGAAAAAGATGGTGGGGTGGGGGGAGATCGCAACCATAACTTTGAATTCGTGGTAAAGCTATCGTGATTTTCCTGGCAAAATTATCATGATTTTTATTGCAGAAGTGTCAAGATTTACTGAAAGTAATACGGCGTCAGTCCGCGTTGCATCGTTTCTATCCGACATCGAAGCTTGTTATCGAAGAGGAGAAGGAGGGCAAAGAGACGAATCAAAATTCCTGAATTGTGCATAGTTTTTATCTGGAACTTGAGAAAGAGCGTGAACAATGCGTCAGTGTCCGAAATGTAAAGCAAAAGAGTACCATAATCGTGCAATGGTAATGATGATCAATGAATGTGGTCATCCGTTGTGCAGGTAACTCAGTTTTTTTGAATGAATGAACGTGCGTGAGAGTTGATACCGCAGTCCTGGGGTTGCAGTTGGCTGGGGAACATACTGGCGAAATTTCAGCTTCAAAGCTTGCGTAGTTGGCGAGTTGAAATACCCGGACTGACGAACACACACACACCCTTCGTCTTCTATTTAAAGAGTTACTTATCAATGATGTAGAACACTTAGATTTCTAGATGACAGTCGGAAAAACCTCAGAAAATATTGGTATGAGATTTATACTTATTAGATACGAGAGGCAAGAAGATTTCAAGGATTTGGCCGTTCGCTTTAGCCGATATTTTTTTGAAGCGAATATACTCAGCAGTTGGAGAGAGTCGAAGACTGTTCTGTAGTACAGGAAAGCTGGTAAGGGGAAAACCGGGAAAATTGGCAGCCTCTGTCTGTTTGTGTTAACTGTTTGTTCATGAGGACTATCACTTACAGAAACTTGCTATTGAGCAGCAGAAGAGTAGTCAAGGTGATTTGAAAAGTAATTATAATTATATTATGCAATTATGTTACGCTACGTTATGCAATTGTGTTACGTTATTATGTTACTTAATTATATTATGCAATTATGTTATAAATTTTAAAGTTAACTTATACAAGTTTTGTTGGTGTTTTAGTATCTACAACAACGAGACAAAATTTCGACCTCTTTTTAATTAAAATCAACTTTTCTGTTGAGTCTAGAAACCCAGATCCTTCCAGGCTGATTAAAAGGTGAGCAGATTGCGCAGTTTGCAAATTTAATGCACTTACAAGGCGTTTGCTGGACTCGGCCTTGTGGTTTTTGGCATGCATTGTTTGGTTTTAATAAGACCACGTTAAGATTTGTATTGTAAGAAGGCAAATGCGCGTCGACAGCTTTACCGGCTGATTGCGGTGTCGACGCTATTTGCTTTTACTATGCGTTTTGTGCTGTGTAACAACATTACAAAACGCACATTGTCACGGGGTTATCAGTGTATGTGTTTGTGTGTGTGTCCCACATTTTGTTGCGCACTTTCAACTCGGAAACCACAAAAGCTGGGCGGCTGATATTTTGTTATAGTGTTCCCCGCCAGCGGGTGACACGGCAGATCTAAATTCAGCCTTCCTGTACCCGCGGGTAACACGTACGGTCCTGTGGAAGTTTTTTACAGGTAAATTAATATCTCGGGAACCATGGAGTCTAGGAGGCCGAAATTTTAGGGTAATGACCTCCTGCCCACGCTCAACCTTGCCTATTCAAATTCAGCGTTCTCGCCCTCTCGGGTACCACTTACCGGCTGGTGAAAGTTTTTACGGGTAAATTATTGTCTCGGGAACCACTGGGTTTAGGAAGCTGAAGGTAATGACCCCCTGCCCACGCTCAACCTTGCCTATTCAAATTCAGCGTTTCCTCCTCTTGAGTATCACCTACGGCCTCGTGAAAATTTTGGCGGGTAAACTATTAACTCGGGAATCACGGAAAGATGTTCACCCGTTGCTGCACTAATTATCAGCAACCCACTATCTTCAAAGAAGAGCTGAACGGCATCCGCTAGGAGATTTATGCGTTTCCCTTGCATCTATGCAATACAAAAACGCATATTGTCGAGGGACTGTCCGTATGTGTGTTTATGTGTATGACTGTATATGTGTGTATGTGTGTGTGCGATGCATCTTGTTATACTTGAGCTAGTATGAAATGCGTTTGCATGTAACTGACAGTCAGATGAAAATAGGTTTTCGACTTTTGGTTCTGAATATGAGGAATTTTCCTAACATTCAATCTTTTCATGCTTTTTTTTCCAAGAATTATTTCTGTCACTGCACATATTTTAAATTGGCAGTAGGTGCTAATTGCAATTGCAGCTCTGAACTGAAGGATTCGACAAAGGGAGGTATTTGGGAGAATCCTAGTAATATCTTTGGCATTGAATCTGTACGCCATTTTTTTAAAGATATTCTTTGTTTATTTGTTATTCGTATCATCTAAATTACCGTTACTGTTGCAGGAACTGTGTGGAAAATTTATTTGCTCGAAACAGTGGCCCTTGTCCGCAGTGCGGCAAAATTTTGTGGAAAAAGGGATTTTGGGTGCAAATTTTTGATGATCCTATGGTGGAGAAGGAAAATCATATACGAAAGAAGTTGAAGAAGGTATTTCAAATATTTTCTTAGTTCAAAATTTTGAGAAGAAAAATGACTCGTTCATTTCAATCGTTATGGGTTATCAGTGGAACGATGAATGCGATCTGGAGATAAACGGTTTAGGATGAGATCTGGCATATATGTGACTGAGCCGGAATAATAACACATCCATCGCCATCACGGCTGTTGGTCAGGGTATTCTTAGATTTTGGGGGCAGATTATGGCAGATTTTCTGGTGAACATGGGATATTCACACTGATAGCCCCTCTTGGTATTCTTGGTGCTAGCTAGTGCATATATTTGTGTAAAGTTAGATCTATAGGGAAACATACGCCAAACTTTCGATTCTGGCTTGATAATCTGTGATCTTCACTAACGATGAATATATGCTGCTATATTAGTGTGCGTAATAAAGTTTTTTTTTACCCCCGCCTCTCTTCCCCGTTCGTTTTTCCTTTCTTTCGGCTTCTATCTTCTCACACTTCTTCTTTCTCTCCTCATTTCCTTCCTCTTTCTTCTTTTTTCTCATTACGCACTGCGACCGTTATACTGACGAGGTCCAGCCGCACTGTTGAGTTAAGATGTATATGACTTAATGGACCGAAAAGTCTTATCTCTCTCTCACCTTCACTCTACGCTACTACTTCCTCCAACATCTTCACACTCTGCCATTTCCACTTCGAGGGTTAACCTGGAAGCTTCAATTTGCTTGCCTTAACGTGGTTGGATCGTCATCGTTAAGAAAGACCTCGCAGTCGCTCGTCCAGCGCACGATCTTCGTCACTACACCTCGATAAATAAAACCCCCTTCCACCTCTTCGTTTCCGGTCCAGACAATTCAACGTCGGGAACAACAAAGTAACACTTGGCGTTGTGATTATCGTTTTTTCGGTTTACATGGTTATCGTCATTATCCTTCTTACGATGGTTTTTCAGACGTTCTTTTTGTGATCATAATCAATGTAGTTGTCTCATTTAATTGTTATTTACTTTTTTAATGACTCTTTATCTTTTCTGTGCTAAAATCTCTTTTTTAGGTTTACAATTTGAAACGAGATGATTTTCCAACACTACGCGATTTCAATGATTATTTGGAGCATGTTGAAACAGTGGTAATGAATCTTACTTGTAACATAGATGTGGAGGAGACAGAAGCTGAAATCAGCCGCTTCAAAGAAGAAAATAGTGAGCTTATTGAAAGGAATAGGCGTAAGGTACGATTCGGTAATTTTACCACTGTTTTTTTTTTTTATGAGAGCAGATTTTCTCAAGCAGTTTTTTTCTATATTTTTCGAAAAAATTTTGCGTTGGCACAAATCAGGCTTCTCAGATCTTAATTTGCTCTGAATTTACTTTTTTTACATTTTTTTTCATGCATTTTGTGCGGCAACAGTTGCACAAAACGCATATAGTCAAAACCATTGTGTGTGTGTGTGTGTGTGTTTTTATCCGGGCTTTTCAACTCGGGAACCAGAGAAGCTAGGAAGCTGAAATCTCAAGGGGAGAAGAGGGGGTGGGGGAGAGGTCCAATACTCACGTATGGCTTCGCAGACTCAGATTCAGCGCTCACATATACCTAAGTCTCGCGTATGGACACATTAAAGTTTTGGCGCGAAAATTATTAACTCGGGAACCAAGAAAGTCTTTTCGGAGTATCCTTACTGTGTTTAAGGGCCACCAACTAATTTCGAACATTTCCATGTTTAGGGCAGGATCAGGCAGTCAGGCATTTAAGTCGTTTATTATGAACAACTTTTTTTATTACTGAAAAGTTATTTTTTCTGAAAAAAAAAGCTTTTTTTTAGCTTGACGAAGATCAAATATGGGTGCGCCAAATGCTGGAGGAGGAACAGAAGAAGAAAATGCACATTGCACAGGGTGGCATCGGTGAAGAGGTTTTTTTTTGGCTCTTGTTAACACACGAGATTATCTAGAATATTCTTTGTAACTCAGCTGTCCAAATTTTTGGCATTTTCAATTTTTTTTTTGCTTTTTTTTGAAGATTGTGAATTTTGCATTTGTTTTGGTCATCAGGATGGCCCGGACCATTATCTGTGTAGAGCTTTCAACGCTGTTTAGGTACAACGGCCCCCGGTTATATCCCAGACCTTTCGGTTGTAGATCTTTCGGCTCTAGGCTATTTATTTCCCGAGCTACTCTCCCAGTCTTCTTTATACACATACTTTTTTCTTGAATATAGAAAAGTGAAATATTTCATACCCTTTGTCAAACACGGATATTTGACTTCGACGGGCTAGATTTTGGTTTTTTTTTTCTTAATTTTCTGAACCGGTTGCTTTTGCCGTCTCAATTTATCGTTTTTTTTTTTTATAAGCCATATTTCAAAGGGATTTATCTGTTCTCAGCCAAAAAGCATGGAATATGTGTATACTCTGTTTGATGAATATGTGTATCACGTCACTTAAAAAATGAAACGCATCATAGGTCTTCAAAGATAACATTGATTTTCATTTGTTACTTTCAGGAGGACTCGGAAAAAATACTTAGTGCAAATAAGGCAAAAGCAATAATTGACGAGTTGCGTGAATCTGATTTGCCAGCCGAAGTAATTTTGGATCGTCAAAGAAAGCGACAAATTGAAGCTGAACTTGCTGAAAAAGAGGAGGCTGCAAGGCGTAAGAAATCCAAAATGGGTAATTATTGATGTTTTTTTTTTCTGCAAAATTTAGATGACTTTTAAAAGTAATTTTTTCTGATACTTTGATCAGCTACTGTTCCATCAGCGTATGTTTTTTCACCAGCGAAAGTCCGGTACACAAAGCATGTTTTTTTTTTGCTGGGAACTGGTATTACGTTGAATATTAGCGAGTGGTACTTACTTACTTGAATACTTGAGCAGCAGTATGTCATCGACGTTCATTGTCGCCCCATCGATGTTGCTGGCAATTTCTCCATTCAACTCGTTGTTGCGCTCTCCGAGTCCACGCGATACCGTACAGGTGTACCATGGAATCTTCACTTTGCCGATGGTCTCCCCAGTGTTCACTTGACTCTTCGTGGATGCCATTCCATTATCCGCTTCGTCCATCTGCTATCTGTCATCCGTGCCACATGACCAGCCCAACTCTTCTTGCTGGCGTACATTGCTTCAATAATGCCTTTCACACCACCCGAGTTGCTTTCGACGAGATTGTGTACATTAAATCAGACGCACGCAATGGGAACTAACTGGAGACATAAAACGTAAGACTTTAAGGTTTGTCTTACTGTACTGATTAATCCCACCCCATTTCGCAGCGATTCAGCCGTCTGTATTTACAGTTCAGATATGAAACACAGACGTCACCTACTCTAAATACCGGTTTGTTTACGTGAAATAGCTAAAAGGCTCTTTTGAGTTTCACAAAATGGCTTTTTTGAGTTTCACAAAATATTAAAATGCGACTGTTTCACAAAATATTAAAATATTAAAACTTTTTTCTTTGCTGGCCTACACTGCGATCAGATTACACATGGAGCCGTAAGGTACATCTTACCCCGTTTTGCTCCAACTTTTTAACGCTGTCAATTTGATTATTTTCATTAGCATTTCAAAATTTTCCAGTACTTAGCTGTGAAAGAATCACGATAAAATCATTGGTATGGAATACTTACACCGACTTTTCGAGCAGTCTTGATATTTTTGGTGTTTCATTTGCAGAAGCTCAGCAGAAACGCCTCGACACAGCATCGTTTGCGCCAATTCGCATCAGCGGTGCTCCATTTGTGTATCAAACTCCAGAACTGTGCGTCAACGGGCCACCGCTTCCGACAGCTAAAGATTTTTCACGACTGGCTTATTTGGATCATGTAGCACCGGTCAGTATCGACCGATGTGTTGCTGGATTCAGCAAGGAAATATGCTGTAATCGAGCATTGTTCGAGTCCAGAATTGATTTGTTCGCTGTTTAAAATGCTTTTTTTCTCGAATTGATCATAACAATAGTGGGTTTTTTTGAGGGATTAGTATTTTACCACCTTTCTATGACTCGTCTGCTGCTGTGAGGAACTCAAATCCGTGTACTCAACGCATTTTTATTAGGCCCTTTTTTCCTGGACGACTTTTTTTCGATTATAAGATTGTGATCTGCCAATTCTGTTACGTACGCGTACTATGCCTTTAATGTCACATTAAAAATGTATTGTTCAGTTTTGCGAATATTCCTTACTTTTTGAGATAGAATTTTTTGCATGAAAATGTGGTGATTTATTTACTGTTTCAGCTTGGGTGAAAATTCGCTGTTGTGTAATTTTTTGAATATCATATTTTTAGATACTTTTTTTTTGAATTCACAGGTTATTTTGTTTCCAAAGAAATAATTTTGCTAGTAAGGTTGTTGAAAAAAAAAAAAGAAATTGGAGGCAGCGACTGGATTTGCTTTCCTCGTCACTCATGAACTGAGGGCTTCTCGATTCCCAGTGGCATGAGTTGTCTCCATTTTCTTCATTTTTTTCAACGAAGCTTATGTGAATTGCTTGTTTAGGATGAGACTTTCTCCATATATTGTTCAGACCGATTTTATGATACTTATCAAAAAAGAAAGCGTATCAGTTGTGCTGTCGAACTCTTTTTGAGGGTATTTCTCATGGTCTCAAGCATTTTCATTGAAGTTTTTCTGTTTGAGCCATTGCTTGTAGCTTGTTATCTTAGCGCATCGTTAACTTTAGTTGAAGCATACGTGACTGTTGATTTTACAGTGTTCGGATGATACACGGGCTAGGAACATCCTCGTAACTTTCGAGCTTTCTAACTTCTGCGGTTGCTGAGTTGAACGTGGGTGACGAAAATACAAACACACATGCACCAACAACTCCTTGATATTATGCGTTTTTTGCATTTTTGCTTGAAAATGCACCAAAAAAAACGGGATTTTTTTTTGAACAAAAACTGGATTTTGGGAATGTTAACTGAAAATAAAGGATACGGCAGATTGGCGCAGTTCATTTTGTTGTTTATGTAGTTTCTTTTCCGGCTTTTATGCGTTTTTGCTATGCGGCATGTTAAACAAACCACAGCGCAGGAACCATTTGTGTTGTTAACGATCTGCAAGTTTAGCGCAAAAACGCATGATCGTATTGGCAAGTCTGGTGCATGGCAACCGGGGGTTACATTAGTTTTCTCATAAAAAGCAAACCAAATTTTGAATAAGGAAAAGTTTAAGAGCACTGTGGCTTTGTGGAGGTTAATGGCCTTTCTTTCCGCGTGGTGATAACCCGGAAATGCATGTTTTGAGGGATTGGCTCTTTATAAGTTTCGCTTGAACTTTATTTAGCCGGTCGCTTCATTTCTCCGTTTGGTTTTGAATTTATTCGATTTAAATTTTGTGTAATTTCGCATCTTCCCTCCATTTTGAGACTTTTAATGCTTCATGATGGGCGTCACTAATCGGTGTTACTTTCTGTTTTATCACTCATTTTTTTGCTTCTTTTTGAAATAAAAATAATGCTAAAATGCGTGCGTTGGCACTGAAACGTTCGGAAGTTATGAGCCTCAATTCCTTCCAGTATTTGAGTTTTTAATAGGTTTTTATTGATGATAATGGTGTTAATAATGGTAATAATAATGATAGTGATAAAAATGAGAATAATGATGATGATATTAATAATAATATTAGTAATAATAGTGAAAGTAATAACAATAATGATAATAATAATACTTGAAGATACTGAAGGAATAGATGTAGGGAGTGGTGAGGGGACAACACTGCATGCGAGGGTGTGTTGAGGAGAAGCATAACAGTTCAATTTTCATACAACTGATTGATTCATCCGGCCCTCCATCTGTACTTCCTAATTTATATGAGATATTATTGTGTGGACAGATTGACGGTTACGCTTATATGAAACTTGGGCTGTGTTGTTAGCTAGGTGCTCAAGTGGATCGTTTCACCGAATTTTCTGAAACAATGAGAAAAATGGGAAAAACAATGAGAAAAATTATGAAATTTTTAGAAAAAATTTTTGCACCACTTTTTCCTTGTTTTCCTTTTGGCTTGTTTTTCCAAGCTGAATTAGCTTTTTTTCGGTCCCACAGTTTTTTTTTTTTTTTTACCATCTCAGATTTCATCTAAGCTAGTCTAGAAAGAGGGAACCATCGATAGTCGATTAGTGTTGACAAATGCTACCACTCGAGCTACTTCCAAGTACTCTGGCCTCTTAGGAGGAAAGGGTGGATAATAGGGTTTTGATTTCGGTTTTCAAAACAAATTTCGTGGTACCTTACGCGTATTTCTTGGGAAAGGGGTTTAAGGTTGAGTCAAGGCACATCAGAGATGGAGTTGGATGCAAATTTTACCGCCTATAAAAGGAAGTAATGGCCAGCACAAAGCATTTTTGTAATGGCTGACCTTAACCCAACTGGTTGGTTTTTCATTGTGCGCAAGATCAATCCGAGGACTTAGATTTTGATAACGGTGATGACGATAGAGTGATAGAGGCGATAATAATGGTGACGATAATGTTGAAGGTGATAGTGATAATGGTGGTAGAATGACAGTGGCGATAATGATATTAATGATGACGACACTAATGAAGTTTGTAGTGATAGCTGTAATAGTCTTACTGTGATGATAATGTTGATAACGATAGCAGTAATGTTGACAGTGTTAATAGGGGTGGGGATGATGATGATGGAAATATTGAAATACAATGATATTAATAATGATAACAGTAATAGTGATGATTTCGATAGCTGTAGAGTTGCTGATGGTACTAGCAGAAAATCCCGAGTTCCCACTCCGAATCTTATTAAGTATGAGCTGTGGTTGGAAAGTAATATTCTCCGATTAGTTACCGTTTTGTTTTTAAAATTGAAACACGCATCGTTAGAATATCACGAATCATTAGAATTAGAACATCACCCTTTTCCCCCAACTTCTTTCATCCAATGAGTGAAATAAAATGAAGCATGCTAAATGTAATTAAGTCAAATTGTTGATGGGGGAATGACCAAAAATT